GAACCTGATGGTTTCTGTTGCTGACTAGACCCAAGAACTCATTGTATTCCAACAAAAATCAGCACTTTAAAACCATTAAATTTAGCTGCCCCCCCCACCTGTGCTGCATGTTCTCCCTGTGTCTGGATCTGGGTAGGTTTCACATTTCATAGACTTAACCTCGACTAATCTAAGTCCTCCTCAACTCCTGCAAGTCAAGAACACAGAGAAGTCTTCCTTCCCACTGTAAACATGTACATTAAAAAGCATCTGTTATTTTGAAGTGTGTAGTGTTTGCCCCCATATTTTACACGGCAACATTTGGAGCTGTAAATAATAGCTATAATAGAAAACACTGATGCTATTTAAAGATGCATTGTGGAACTTTCTGGTGAGAGCTAGAGTGTAGAGACTGGGAGATGAGAGAGAATGAATTAACGCACAAATGAAATGCAGTAAATGATATGTTAGCTGTAATAGAAAATACTGATGCTATCAATACAAAGCAGAGTCTCACTTCCAACTGTAAATCTATAAATTAAAAAGTGTCTGTTATATTGGAGTGTTTTCACCCATGTCACAATTATGCATCATTATTTCTTCAATCGATGTTTATGAGTCCTTTATTGGAGCGATTGGAGCTGGCAGAACAGAATCTATGGCCTAATAATATTTTGTGAGATCGATAAAGAGTTGTGTTTTGGCACAGGCTGTTCTGAAGTTCATTTTCATAGTTTTATGAAGCGAGAAGGATCTAAATCTGGACCAAACCTGGCAACCGGACAACGCTGTGTCTATGGACTGTAAATATTCAGCTGCCTTTCAGATGTGAGACTCCAAATCTCCGAGGGGCTTCCCGGGTTAAACGAAGAAAAACTAAACAAAAAAGGATTTCAAGAGCTATAAATATCAGCACTGAAAAAGCTGGACAGGTACATTTTTTTATTTAGACCTGTTTTACTCTACAGGTAAACAGTAGTAGTAGTAGTAGTTGTCTTTGTAGTCAAAAATTCAAAGCATGCATAAAAATAAACATTTAATAGCAGTAGCAGTAGCAGTAGTAGGAAAAATACTAGCAGTGGTAGTAGTAGTAGCAATAGTATTAGTAGAAGTATTACTAGTAGTAACGGTAGTACTAGCAGCAGTAGTAGTAATAGTAGCAATAGCATTAGTAGAAGTATTATTATTATTAGTTGTGGCAAAAACTCTAGCTGTGGTTTTAGTTGTAGTAACAGAATAGTAGTTGTAGGTGTTGTAGTAGTAGTAGTAGTAGTAGTTGTCTTTGTAGTTGTTGTAGTTGTTGTTGCAGTAGTTGTAGTAGTAGTTGTAGTAGTAGTGGTTGTAATAGTAGTAGTAGTAGTAGTAGTAGTAGTAGTAGTAGTAGTTGTTGTAGTACTAGTCGTAATAGTAGTTGTCTTTGTAGTTGTAGTAGTAGTAGTTGTTGTAGTACTAGTCGTAGTTGTTGTTGCAGTAGTTGTAGTAGTGGTTGTAATAGTAGTAGTGGTTGTTAGTAGTAGTAGTAGTAGTAGTAGTAGTAGTAGTAGTAGTAGTAGTTGTAGTTGTTGTTGTAGTAGTTGTTGTTGTAGTACTTGTTGTAGTACTTGTTGTAGTTGTACTTGTTGTAGTACTTGTTGTAGTAATAGTTGTCATCGTAGTTGTTGTTGTAGTAGTAGTTGTAATTGTTGTAGTAGTAGTAATTGTTGTAGTAGTAGTAGTTGTTGTAGTAGTAGTTGTAGTAGTAGCTGTAGTAGTAGTAGTAGTAGCAGTAGCAGTAGCAGTAGTAGTAGTAGTAGTAGTAGTAGCAGTAGCAGTAGCAGTAGCAGTAGTAGGAAAAATACTAGCAGTGGTAGTAGTAGTAGCAATAGTATTAGTAGAAGTATTACTTGTAGTAACAGGTAGTACTAGCAGTAGTAGTAATAGTAGCAATAGCATTAGTAGAAGTATTATTATTGTTAGTTGTGGCAGAAACTCTAGCAGTAGTTGTAGTTGTAGTAGTAACAGAATAGTAGTAGTTCTAGTAGCTGTAGTAGTTATAGGTGTTGTAGTAGTTATTGTTGTAGTAGTAGTAGTAGTTGTTGTAGTAGTTGTAGTAGTAGTTGTTGTTGTAGTTGTACTAGTAGTAGTAGTAGTTGTTGTAGTACTAGTCGTAATAGTAGTTGTCGTTGTAGTTGTTGTAGTAGTTGTTGTAGTAATAGTTGTAATAGTTGTAGTAGTAGTAATAGTTGTAGTATTAGTTGTAGTAGTAATTGTAGTAGTAGTAGTAGTTGTTGTTGTAGTACTAGTCGTAATAGTAGTTGTCTTTGTAGTTGTTGTAGTAGTTATTGTTGTAGTAGTTGTAGTTGTTGTTGCAGTAGTTGTAGTAGTAGTTGTAGTAGTAGTGGTTGTAGTAGTAGTAGTAGTAGTAGTAGTAGTAGTAGTTGTTGTAGTAGTTGTAGTTGTTGTTGTAGTACTAGTCGTAATAGTAGTTGTCTTTGTAGTTGTTGTAGTAGTAGTTGTTGTTGCAGTAGTTGTTGTAGTAGTTGTAGTAGTAGTTGTAGTAGTAGTAGTAGTAGTCTTGTAGTTGTAGTAGTTTATTGTTGTAGTAGTTGTAGTTGTTGTTGCAGTAGTTGTAGTAGTAGTTGTAGTAGTTTGTAGTTGTAGTAGTAGTAGTTATTGTTGTAGTAGTTGTAGTTGCAGTAGATGTAGTAGTAGTGGTTGTAATAGTAGTTGTAGTAGTAGTAGTAGTAGTAGTAGTAGTAGTAGTAGTAGTAGTAGTAGTAGTAGTAGTAGTAGTAAGTAGTAGTAGTAGTAGTAGTTGTAGTAGTAGTAGTTGTTAGTAGTTGTAGTAGTAGTAGTAGTAGTAGTAGTGTTGTAGTAGTAGTGTAAGTAGTAGTAGTAGTTAGTTGTAGTAGTTTGTTGTAGTAAGTAGTAGTAGTTGTTGTAGTAGTTGTAGTAGTGTTGCAGTAGTTGTAGTAGTAGTAGTAGTAGTAGTAGTAGTAGTAGTGTGTAGTAGTAGTTGTAATAGTAGAGTAGTTTGTTGTAGTAAGTAGTAGTAGTAGTTGTAGTAGTTGTAGTAGTAGTAGTAGTAGTAGTAGTAGTAGCAGTAGCAGTAGCAGTAGTAAAAAATACTAGCAGTAGTAGTAGTAGCAATAGTATTAGTAGAAGTATTACTTGTAGTAACGGTAGTACTAGCAGCAGTAGTAGTAATAGTAGCAATAGCATTAGTAGAAGTATTATTATTAGTTGTGGCAGAAACTCTAGCTGTAGTTGTAGTAGTTCTAGTAGCTGTAGTAGTTGTAGGTGTTGTAGTATTAGTTGTTGTAGTAGTAGTAGTAGTAGTTGTAGTAGTAGTAGTTGTTGTAGTTGTACTAGTAGTAGTAGTTGTAGTACTAGTCGTAATAGTAGTTGTTTGTAGTTGTTGTAGTATTGTAGTAGTAGTTGTAATAGTAGTAGTTGTAGTAGTAATTGTTGTAGTTTAGTAGTAGTAATTGTAGTAGTAGTAGTAGTAGTAGTAGTAGTAGTAGTAGTAGTAAGTAGTTGTAGTACTAGTCGTAATAGTAGTTGTCTTTGTAGTTGTTTGTAGTAGTAGTAGTAGTAGTAGTTGTTGTAGTAGTTGTTGTAGTAGTAGTTGTAGTAGTAGTAGTTGTTGTAGTAGTAGTTGTAGTAGTAGTTGTTGTTGTAGTTGTTGTAGTAGTTATTGTAGTAGTAGTAGTAGTTGTTGTAGTACTAGTCGTAATAGTAGTTGTCGTTGTTGTTGTAGTAGTTATTGTTGTAGCAGTTTAGTTGTTGTTGCAGTAATTGTAGTGGTTGTAATAGTAGTTGTAATAATAGGAGTATTAGTAGTAGTAGTAGTAGTAGTAGTTGTAGTTGTTGTAGTAGTTGTAGTAATAGTTGTCATCGTAGTTGTTGTAGTAGTTGTTGTAGTAGTAGTTGTAATAGTTGTAGTAGTAGTAATTGTTGTAGTATTAGTTGTAGTAGTAATTGTTGTAGTAGTAGTAATAGTAGTAGTAGCACTAGCAGGAAAAATACTAGCAGTGGTAGTAGTAGTAGCAATAGTATTAGTAGAAGTATTACTAGTAGTAACGGTAGTACTAGCAGCAGTAGTAGTAATAGTAGCAATAGCATTAGTAAAAGTATTGTTATTATTAGTTGTGGCAGAAACTGTAGCAGTAGTTGTAGTAGTAACAGTAGTGCTAGCAATAGTAGTAGTTGTAATATTGTAGTAGTAACAGAATAGTAGTAGTTCTAGTAGCTGTAGTAGTTGTAGTAGGTGTTGTAGTAGTTATTGTTGTAGTAGTAGTAGTTGTTGTAGTAGTAGTTGTAGTAGTAGAAGTAGTTATCGTAGTAGCTGTAGTAGTAGTTGTTGTAGTACTAGTCGTAATAGTAGTTGTCCTTGTAGTTGTTGTAGTAGTTGTTGTTGTAGTAGTAGTTGTAGTAGTAGTTGTTGTAGTAGTTTAGTAGTAGTAATAGTTGTTAGTAGTAGTAGTAGTAGTAGTAGTAGTAGTAGTAGTAGTAGTAGTAGTAGTAGTAGTAGTAGTAGTAGTTGTAGTAGTAGTAGTAGTAGTAGTAGTAGTAGTAGTAGTTGTAGTAGTAGTAGTAGTAGTAGTAGTAGTAGTAGTGTAGTAGTGGTAGTAGTAGGTAGTGGTAGTAGTAGTAGTAGTAGTAGTAGTAGTAGTAGTAGTAGTCGTCCAGTTGTCCAGGTAAGTTCCATAGCAAAAGAAAAAGTGAATTCTCTAAACTGATTCCAGCAAATTTCAAATTGTCCAGTTGAAACTTTTTTTTTTTTTCTTTTGAGTTCAAAAGCAGAAATCAAACAGAGACATGGAATTGCAGATTTTATTGAGCTTCAAACATTCAGGTGTAGAGTTGAAGTTTGGTTACAGCAGCTTATAACATTATACTACAGATAAAGAATACATAGTAGTACAGTATTTGCATCTTGTCTTGTTTGGAGTATTGTTTAAAGTCGTACTGTACACTGCCCTGGTTCTACTCAAACAAGAAGGAAAAAGCCAAAAGTGAAGTGCTGACAGGCCTCGTCTTCAACTGAGAACACACGTCTTAGACTGAGCCGCCTCCGCTGAAGGAAGGAGGAGACAAGGAGGCAAGGGAGGAGGAGGTGAGGAGGACAAGGAAGCAAGGATGGACACAAGGAAGAACGGAAGAAGGGACAGAAGGAGGGAAGGAAGGAAAAGGTGAAGAGAAGGGTAGGAGATGAAGGAAGGAGGCAAGGGAGCAGAGAAGGAAAGATGTATGGATGGATAGGAGAGAGAAAAGTGGTAGAGGAGAGAGAGAAACATGTTAGTGCATAAAGATGGTGTGATTATCATCGCTTGTCAGTGAGTCTGGGTGAGCAGGAGACTTCAGAGCCACAGGGACACGTGTGAATACAAATGTCAAACACGATGTATGAAACCGGTCTTCAAAATCTGACAAAATGATGTGTTTCTGAAGATGTGTTTTTATGCTAAACGTTCACAACAGGCCAAGTGGAGTTTGTTGTATTTGTATAGTACAGTATGAAACTCACTTCACACATCAGTTTGAATTTTCACTGTGTTGTTGAGTTTGTATTGAATTTTGAGATTCACTTTTATATTCAAACTTATTCATTAAAATCACACGTAGGAAAAGGAAACATCTTAAAGGGTGAACTCGTGTCTCACATCCACAGTGTGAACATGACGGAGTTAGAATCAGAGCAACAGGAGCAAGAGAAAGTTTCACTCATATCACTGATGAAATGTTTTGTGTGTGAGCAGCACAGAGCAGAATAAAATGCAAAATAACTTGTGTTGCTGAGAATGTAGCGAATAATATATAACTGATTTTCATCTTAACAATGCGTTTATAAGACTGTGTAAGTGAAAAATGAAATAAATGAGTGTAATGTGTTTCTTTTGTAACACTCCTCACATTCCAACACTGACAGAGAAAATCAGATGGGTTATATAATGTAATTGTAAGTATATTTTGAAAGTGTAAAAAATAATGCATCTTTTAACACATTCTGTAGGACTTTTTTTTTTCTTTTATAAATGTTTACAAATGTAAAGTACCTTTAACTTGCTTCTCAAAGACATTCTAAGGTTACTGAGGGTTACTGAATTGTGACATAATAATTAGAAAATCTTGTATAATTTCTTGTATGATTAAATGGTACAGTATGTTTTAGACCAGTTGTCTCCAACCTTTTTCCTCCGGTGAGCTACTTTAACAAAATCAAAATGCCAAAGAGCTCCTCATTTTAGCTGTCACAAAAAACTGAGTAAATTTAAGAGTCACGGCCTTAAATGGAGCACACTTAGATGTTTATATGTTTATTTAGTGCACTGCGTTAGTCATCAGAATGATACATTTACAATGATAATAGTCTTTTGATCAATCCAATGTGAGTTATTCAGGATGATTAAAAAATCCCTTGGCGAGCGACTTGGAAGGGGGTGGAGAGCTACTGGTATTTCTCGAGCTACAGGTTGGAGACCCCTGTTGTAGACTGTACCTGTGACCTAGTTTCTCACCTTGCCTGGCGGCTGCTGCCTTCTGAGCCGCCTCCTCTTTGGCCTTCTTCTCTGCCTCGATGGCGGCCATCTTGGCTTCGTGTTCCTCCTTCAGAGCGTTCCATTCTTTTCTGTTGTTCATGATCCGGTCGAACATCGGAGTGATCTCCACGTGGAAACGACTGAACTCCTGAAAAACACAATGCAAATTCAATACATAATCATATGACAGATTTATTTTATAACCCTCCTCTGTCCCGCTGTCTTTCTCCTCTGAGATTTCAATAATCAATCTTTAAATGTGCTTTGTGTCACTTCTGGGGGAGGGTCCATTAAATGATTTTCTCCATGGAGATGTTATTGCTTTGTTTGGACTTTTTCACAGTATGGCATTAAACCTTTCCAGCTTCACTGAGACCAAACCAGATCAAGTTACAGGTCAGATCTGTGGAGAGGCGACCCTGCTCACAGTCAGAATGTCTGTTTTTCTAGATATTTTTGACCTTTAAAACCACCTGTAATTGAATAAATGTAAAGTAGAGCTGTTTAATGTCACACTGTGGAACAGACAGAGCAATGACATATTTATAAAAACTAATTTTACAAAGTGCACCTTTAAAATTGCAACAAAACTTGAATTCATTTCTTTTTAGAATTCAGTACAACTATCTTATGTTTCCCCCCTTTCTACACAAACTGCCACTTATCTGATTTAAAAAAAAAACTGATAAATATTGACGGACACAGCAAACAAAATCCTAATTAGAAAAACATGAAAACCTGTCACATGTACATAAGTCATTTCAACATCGGTGTGTATCTGCGAGACAAGGACACTGACACTGTTTGAGTCTATTCACTCTGACTGAAAGTAGAAACAGTGGGAGCAGATGGTGTGAAGTCTCCCAGGGAACCGCGAGCAATCTACATTTTACAAATCAGATCCATGTAACAGGTGCACCCGGGTCAGTGCCGAGTCTTTATACAGTAACATTAAGAAAAAAAACAACAAAAAAACACTGAGGGCGAGAAGATGGAGTAGGTTTGTGATTCTCACCTTGTAAACAAAAGTGCACACAAAATCGATGAAACCGCACTGAAGTTTGGGCAAATCGTCTGCTTTGTTTCTGTCCATCATCGGCTGGAAGAGACACACACACACACGCACACACGCACACACGCACACACGCACACACGCACACACAAACACACACAAAAGTAAGTACATATATGACATTATGAAATTTACTTTTTTGACACATTCACATTATAGAATCTGATGATGTCACAATTTCAGATGGAGGTGGAGATTCACACTATGTAACAGATAATACTCCCTACAACTGTACAACAACTCACCCTTATGTAACAGATAATACTCCCTACAACTGTACAACACAACTCACCCTTATGTAACAGATAATACTCCCCTACAACTGTAAAACAACTCACTTATGTAACAGATAATACTCCCTACAACTGTACAACAACTCTCACTTATTATGTAACAGATAATACTCCCTACAACTGTACAACAACTCACTCCTTATGTAACAGATAATACTCCTACAACTGTACAACAACTCACCCTTATGTAACAGATAATACTCCCTACAACTGTAAAACAACTCATTATTATGTAACAGATAATACTCCCTACAACTATACAACTCACTCTTATGTAACAGATAATACTCCCTACAACTGTACAACAACTCACCCTTATGTAACAGATAATACTCCCTACAACTGTACAACAACTCACCCTTATGTAACAGATAATACTCCCTACAACTGTACAACAACTCACTCTTATGTAACAGATAATACTCCCTACAACTGTAAAACAACTCATTATTATGTAACAGATAATACTCCCTACAACTGTAAAACAACTCATTATTATGTAACAGATAATACTCCCTACAACTATACAACTCACTCTTGTGTAACAGATAATACTCCCTACAACTGTACAACAACTCACCCTTTTGGAACAGATAATACTCCCTACAACTGTACAAGTCACTCTTATGTAACAGATAATACTCCCTACAACTGTACAACTCATTATGTAACAGATATATACTCCCTACAACTGTACAACTCACTCTTATGTAACAGATAATACTCCCTACAACTGTACAACTCACCTTATGTAAACAGATAATACTCCCTACAACTTTACAACAAGTCACTTATGTAACAGATAATACTCCTTACAACTGTACAACAACTCAGCCTTATGCAACATATAATACTCCCTACAACTGTACAACAACTCACCCTTATGTAACAGATAATACTCCCTACAACTTTACAACAAGTCACCCTTATGTAACAGATAATACTCCCTACAACTGTACAACAACTCAGCCTTATGCAACAGATAATACTCCCTACAACTGTACAACAACTCACCCTTATGTAACAGATAATACTCCCTACAACTTTACAACAAGTCACCCTTATGTAACAGATAATACTCCCTACAACTGTACAACAAGTCACCCTTATGTAACAGATAATACTCCCTACAACTGTACAACAACTCATTTTTATGTAACAGATAATACTCCCTACAACTGTACAACAAGTCACTCTTATGTAACAGATAATACTCCCTACAACTATACAACAACTCGCCCTTATGTAACAGATAATACTCCCTACAACTGTACAACTCACTCTTATGTAACAGATAATACTCCCTACAAATGTACAACAACTCATTTTTATGTCAAAGATAATACTCCTAAGTCCCTTTTATCTTACTAAGTGTAAGTTTGAGTGCTTCAGTGTTACTAAGTTGAAATGTGTGTGTAATTTAGCGGTGGTCTTTTCCAAACGTGCACACACACTGAGTTGCTCGTGTTTGTTTTGTGTGATTGTGCGGCTCTGGCGTGGGAACATTCTCCCTCCTGTAACGGTGGGTTCAAACGGTCCACCTACGGGCGCTCCACTGCACAGGCCGTTTCACTCTTTTACTTCACGTCAAAATGAGCGTGAGTCACAGACAGAGCAGCTCAAACATCACAGACACGAGCACAGGATGGACAGAGAGATGCAGAGAAAGAGAGAGGTGCAGAGAGGGAGAGATGCAGAGAGAGAGAGAGAGGTGCAGAGAGAGAGAGAGAGAGAGAGAGAGAGAGAGAGAGATGCAGAGAGAGGGAGAGATGCAGAGAGAGAGAGAGAGAGTGCAGAGAGGGAGAGAGAGGTGCAGAGAGAGAGAGAGAGAGAGAGATGCAGAGAGAGAGAGAGAGAGAGAGAGAGAGAGAGAGAGAGAGATGCAGAGAGAGAGAGAGAGAGGTGCAGAGAGAGAGAGAGGTGCAGAGAGAGAGAGAGAGAGAGAGAGAGAGAGAGAGAGAGTGCAGAGAGAGAGAGGTGCAGAGAGAGAGAGAGATGCAGAGAGAGAGAGAGAGAGGTGCAGAGAGAGAGAGAGAGAGAGAGAGAGATGCAGAGAGGGAGAGAGTGCAGAGAGAGAGAGAGAGAGAGATGCAGAGAGAGAGAGAGGTGCAGAGAGAGAGAGAGAGATGCAGAGAGAGAGAGAGAGAGAGTGCAGAGAGAGAGAGAGAGAGTGCAGAGAGAGAGAGAGAGAGATGCAGAGAGAGAGAGAGTGCAGAGAGAGAGAGAGAGAGATGCAGAGAGAGAGAGAGAGAGAGAGAGAGAGCAGAGAGAGAGAGATGCAGAGAGAGAGAGAGAGAGGTGCAGAGAGATAGAGAGATGCAGAGAGAGAGAGAGGTGCAGAGAGGGAGAGATGCAGAGAGAGAGAGAGAGAGAGATGCAGAGAGAGAGAGAGAGAGAGAGATGCAGAGAGATCAGAGAGAGAGAGCAGAGAGAGAGAGAGAGAGAGATGCAGAGAGAGAGATGCAAAGAGAGAGATGCAGAGAGAGAGAGAGAGAGAGAGATGCAGAAGAGAGAGAGAGAGAGAGAGAGATGCAGAGAGAGATGCAGAGAGAGAGAGAGAGACAGAGAGAGAGAGCAGAGAGAGAGAGGAGATGCACAGAGAGAAAGAGAGAGATGCAGAAAGAGAGAGAGGGAGATGCAGAGAGAAAGAGAGAGAGAGAGGATACAGAAATGCAGAGAGAAAGAGGAGAGAGGTGCAGAGAGAAAGAGAGATGCAGAAGAGAGAGAGAGAGAGAGAGAGATGCAGAGAGAGAGAGAGATGCAGAGAGAGAGAGAGAGATGCAGAGAGAGAGAGAGGACAGAGAGATGCAGAGAGAGAGAGAGAGAGATGCAGAGAGAGAGATGCAGAGATGCAGAGAGAGAGAGAGATGCAGAGAGAGAGAGAGAGAGAGATGCAGAGAGAGAGAGAGAGAGAGAGAGAGAGAGAGAGAGAGATGCAGAGAGAGAGAGAGAGAGAGAGTGCAGAGAGAGAGAGAGAGATGCAGAGAGAGAGAGAGAGAGATGCAGAGAGAGAGAGAGAGAGAGATGCAGAGAGAGAGAGAGAGAGAGAGATGCAGAGAGAGAGAGAGAGATGCAGAGAGAGAGAGATAGAGATGCAGAGAAAGAGAGAGGTGCAGAGAGAGAGATGCAGAGAGAGAGAGAGAGAGATGCAAGAGAGAGAGAGAGAGATGCAAAGAGAGAGAGGGAGATGCAGAGAGAAAAGAGAGAGAGAGGGATACAGAAATGCAGAGAGAAAGAGGAGAGAGGTGCAGAGAGAAAGAGATGCAAAGAGAGAGAGATTCAAAGAGAGAGATGCAGAGAGAGAGAGATGCAAAGAGAGAGAGATGCAGAGATGGACAGAGAGATGCAGAGAGAGAGGGAGATGCAGAGAGAGAGAGATGCAGAGAGAGAGAGAGAGAGAGAGAGAGAGCAGAGAGAGAGAGAGAGAGAGATGCAGAGAGAGAGAGAGAGAGATGCAGAGATAGACAGAGAGATGCACAGAGAGAGAGAGAGAGAGATGCAAGAGAGAGAGAGAGAGACAGAGAGAGAGAGAGAGAGAGCTGCAGAGAGAGAGAGAGAGAGAGAGTGCAGAGAGAGAGAGAGAGAGATGCAGAGAGAGAGAGAGAGAGAGAGATGCAGAGAGAGAGAGAGAGAGAGAGATGCAAGAGAGAGAGAGATGCAGAGAGAGAGAGAGAGAGAGCAGAGAGAGAGAGAGATGAGAGAAGCAGAGAGAGAGAGAGAGAGAGAGAGAGAGAGAAGAGAGAGAGAGAGATGCAGAGAGAGAGAGATGCAAAGAGCGAGAGAGAGATGCAGAGAGAGAGAGATGCAAAGAGAGAGAGAGAGAGATGCAGAGAGATGCAGAGAGAGAGAGAGAGAGATACAGAGATAGACAGAGAGATGCAGAGAGAGTGATAGAGAGATGCAACTGTACAACAACTCACCCTTATGTAACATAATACTCCCTACAACTGTACAACAACTCACAGGTATGTGAAGAGACAGAGAGAGACGGATGGATGAACAGAGCAGAGGAGAGGGACAGTTATTATTATTATTTTGAATCTCATCATGTAAAATGCCAAAACGTGGATAATCCTGCGTTTGATTCCTTATTATTTTCTGTACGTAGCTGCACTAAACAGAATTTATCCTTGAGTTTTACTGTCTACATTTTGTATTTTTGTTTATCTCTTCAGCTCGTCCCAAAAACCCCATTCCAAACTGGAGCCCGGAGGAAACGTCTGATCCGACATAATTCCTACGGTTTCTGTCTCGGCCCCGGTTCTTTCTCCTTCACCAAACTTCACTTGTGTCAAAAATAAAGTCACAGATTTAGGAAGGAGGAGCGACGGAGGCTTACGATGGGCTGCTGCTCCAGAACCGTCCTCTCCAGATCTCCCTGCTCCCAGAACTCAGCCGCCACCGACAGCGCCACCTACAGGAGACACGACAGAAGGGACACACAACACAGAAATAAACACACTGACATGTATGTGCACTGGAATCTTCAACAGAGCCAGATACTCACATTTACTTGAGTAACTTTTTAAAGGATTTGTTTTATTAAAGTCTAATCCAAGACTAAACCAGGACTAAACCAAGACTGGACCAGGACTAAACCAAGACTGGACCAGGACTAAACCAAAACTGAGACCAGGACTAAACCAAGACTAGACCAGGACTAAACCAAGACTAGACCAGGACTAAACCAAGGTCCATTACTAAAGCAAGTCTGGACCAGGACTAAACCAAGACTGGACCAGGACTAAAGCAAGACTGGACCAGGACTAAACCAAGACTGGACCAGGACTAAACCAAGACTGGACCAGGACTAAACCAAGACTAAACCAAGACTAGACCAGAACTAAACCAAGGTACAGGACCAAACCAAAACTAGAGCAGGACTAAACCAAGACTGGACCAGGACTAAACCAAGACTAAGACCTGGACAAGACTGGACCAGGACTAAACAAGACTGGAAGGACTAAACCAAGACTGGACCAGGACTAAACCAAGACTGGACCAGGACTAAAGCAAGACTGGACCAGGACTAAACCAAGACTGGACCAGGACTAAAGCAAGACTGGACCAGGACTAAAGCAAGACTGGACCAGGACTAAACCAAGACTGGACCAGGACTAAACCAAGACTGGACTAAACCAAGACTGGACCAGGACTAAACCAAGACTGGACCAGGACTAAACCAAGACTGGACCAGGACTAAAGCAAGACTGAACCAGGACTAAACCAAGACTGGACCAGGACTAAACCAAGACTGGACCAGGACTAAAGCAAGACTGGACCAGGACTAAACCAAGACTAGACTAAACCAAGGACAGACCAGACAGGACTAAACCAAGACTGACAGGACTGACTAAGACTAAACAAGACTGGACCAGGACTAAACCACAAACCAAGACTGACCTGGACTAAACCAAGACTGGACCAGGACTAAACCAAGACTGGACCTGGACTAAAGCAAGACTAGATCAGGACTAAACCAAGACTAGACCTGGACCAAACCAACACTAGACCAGGACTAAACCAAGACTAAACAAAGACTAGACCAAGACTAGACCAGGACCAAACCAGTTCCACATCAGAACTAAATTAAAAAGCACAGACTCTTGCATTTTCTCCAAACCAAAATGTGCTGCAGCTGCTGATGGACCATATGTGATTTTGTATTCGGCACCTTATTTTAGAACGCCTTAGTCATCGAGTCGATTTAGAGAAACAATGCCACGGGGCGTATAGAAGCGTGCGGCGCAATATCGCTCTCATGTGGGCGACAAAAGTGAACCAAACATGAAATATTGACCATGAAAACGTCACTGAACTGTTCTAAGAATAGACGTATATTTAGACTCACATCATGTTTTTCACTTTGTCACTCTCACCTTTTTTGTTGAAAATCAAACACCTAAACAGAAAATGTGCAGTTTCAATCCATTTTATTTTTTTTTCTGGAGTTTTCAGACAGTCTATAAACTTTTAGTCAGGCTGTGATTGTTAATGTGTGCGTCGTGTCGCCATGGCAACTGCTGAATGTTCCGTCATAGACGCACATGCAGTACGTGATTTCACTGCACTGTATACACGAGGGTCTGCCCCGGGACTAGACCAGGATTAAACCAGGACTAGACCAGGACTAAACCAGGACTAGACCAGGACTAAACCAAGTTCTAGGACTAAACTAAACCAAGACTAAACTAAGATGAAACCAAGATGAAACCAAGCCTAAACCAAAACCAAACCAACACTCGACCAGGACTAAACCAAGACTGTATCAGAACCAAACCAGGACTAGACCAGGACTAAACCGAGTTCTAGGACTAAACCAAGACTAGATCAGGATAAACCAAGACTAAACCAAGACTAGACCAGGACCAAAACCAACACTAAACCAAGACTAGACCAGGACTAAAACCAAGACTAGACCAAGACTAGACTAAACCAAGGTGTGACCGACGCCACCAACGTTAATAAGATGTTTACGTAACTCTTATTGCGCGCAGTTTCTGGCAATAAGTGGAATTACCGTACTAAAATAATACAAAAAAATTGTGAAAACCCAAATGTGAAAACAGGAAAATACCGCCATGCAATCCATTTATTTTAACAAAGTAACTGTAATCCAATTACCACTCACTGAAACAGTAACAGTAACCGAAATACAGTTACTCATAATTTGTACTCTGATTACGTAACTCCGGTACATGTAATCTGTTACTCCCCAACACTGAATATAGTACAAATGTGACGTCTCTTTGTGCCACTCTCACTCCTCTTTACCAGATAAGTGAGCGAAACATGAAATATGCCCCATGAAAATGTCACTTGTTGTCCTAAGAATAGACATGTATTTATACTTACATTGTGGACTCATAATGTCAGGGGAAAAGGCTGTCTATCACCCACACAAATCTACTATTATTTCAGAGAGACTAATGGAGGATTCTGACACTTTTTATCAAGTTAAAATTACAGAGTGGAGCAATAACAAAGAGCTATTCAACCTCAAAGATGTTTTATACAGAGTTAAATTACATCTGCTATTGGATTTCTGCAGATCCTCCGAATGGTATTATCATAAAACTGGAAATTGGCAGGGACAATTGGAATAGGCTGGCAAGCTGTAATAATGTCTATTTCCATTGTGGAATATAGTCTGGGATCTGTGGATTTAGTGGGATTGTCGGATGGCAGGTCTGAGAGACACACAAAACAGAAGAGACAATAAGGGCTGAAACAATATTTAAATGGCTCATATTTAGCTATTTTCTGATCTCTGTTATAATGTTGTTTCCTCATCAAAACATACCTGCCCTGGAATTGACAGTCTCTACTGAACTAACTGAACTAACTAAGGCTACGTTTACATTGAAACGAATCGCCGTATCAGAAACGATCTACGTCCAGACACGTCGTTTCTGTGAACGCCAGCCTTCCCTATCCACACAGCTTTGAGCATATTTGTTTACGTTTTACAGAAACGAAACTTAAAACCACATGGTTCATTTGCATAAACTAAGCACTCAAAAAAACAGCTCGCTATTGTGTGCTGATGCTATTCAGCTTCTGTCGGAGTAAGGCTACGTTCAGACTGCAGGGCTTAACACTCTATTTGGATTTTTTTGTGAAATCTGATGTTTTTGTGAGGTTGTTCACATTTCCAATTAAATGTGACTTGTATGTGACTCCAGTGTGAACATTAAACGGCCCAAAAGTGTCCCACATGAGCACTGGAGACACAACGACGTCAACCGCAGTGAGCGTGCTCTGTGTTTACTGAAGTTGTCCAAACATGGACGCAGCATTGAGCACCTGGAGATTTTAAAGTTTCTCTCGTACCGGAGCCAGAACATGAACAACTTACTTGTTTTAAGGAGGAGATTGAGAAGGAGAAGGACGAGGTTTTTGGCTGTGGTGTTTTGTGGGACAGCGGCAGCGACGTCCGTTGAAAGAAACGTGTGGATGTGGAGACGGAGCCAAGAGTGGTGAGTGGTGATGTGCTTCACTTCAGTGACACGGAGTTCATTAACAATTTTCGCCTACTTCAGCGCAGAATAGTGACGTTTGTGTCTTGTTGATAACGTGTAGGTGGATGAATGCACTTTGGCCGTTCACATTGAAGTCACATGTCAAAAGATCAGATATGTATCGGTTTTAGGAGCACATATCCAAGTGTCCTGGGTCACATTTGAAAAAATCAGATCTGTGTCGTTCAGACTGTCATTAAAAGATCAGATACAGGAACATAGGGGTCAAAAATCGGATTTGGGTCACTTCAGGTTGCAGTCTGAATGTAGTCTAAAGGACACGACTCAGTGGAATATGAGTGTTCTTTCTGTGACAGAGGGGTGTTCTGCTGATGGTGAGTCTGTTCTTTGTTTCTATCGCGTTGGAAATGGTTCATGTTAAACTTTTCAGAGATTATATGTCTGCGATGCATAGACCGTATATATGACTGGACATATATTCTAGCCTCTTAGCGTTTTGGCAGTGAATTTGGTGCATAGACCTACATCAGAGTATCAGTGTTTTCAGGCGTCCACACAGCGTCGGATCAGATCTGTACGCAAATGAATTCGTGGGAGCTGGCGGCACCAGATCGTTCCATCTCTGGAGTTTCCGTTTTCCATCGGATTAGTGTGAACGAACACTGCATCCACAACTAAAACGACTTCGGTATGTTACTGGTGTGGACGGGGTCTAAACTACAGCTTCATGACATCACAAGGTGGAACAGAGCATTTTGAGCTTTGGAGATGTAGACAGACTAATAATAAAAGATTATCAAACATGTCAGCATAAAACAAAACACAACTCCAGGTCTGTTTTTGAGAAGGAAACAACAGTCTAACATGACTTGAAGATCACAAGTGTAAATTTTGTGTAATATAGGACCTTTAAATTTTATTGTGGCATGAAAATCCTTGTACAAGTCATTAGAATTTTTACTCTGAAAAGTCAGTCTTTGGAGCCAGATTAGAATTATCATTGTTTATTAATAAAAGCTATTGTGGATTAAAGATCTATGGTTCTTTTGTCTGTTATATACAGTAGAATCTATGACATCTGTGAATCATTATGTTTTATTTTAGACAATTTAAAAGTCTATCTTGATCTAAAACAGTGCAGATCGCATTAGTGAACAGCAGATTTTTGGCAACAGTTTGGAGTTAGGTACACCGGTGTACCGAAGATTTTCATTTGGGTGCACCAGAATGTGCTTTAGGTGCACCAAAAACTGGCACACATTTAAGTCATGGTGATATATTGTTGTTTAATTGCCTCTCCTGCTGCTTGTTTCTATGGAAATGTTCCTTTGGCTATAATCTTCCACATTACGGCGTAAAACTCATCTATCTCCATGTAGAAGTTCCGCAGTATGGTTTTAAAGAAGGCCTATTGTGTTTGAGGCTTTTATAC